TGCTCACCTAGCTTGGTCATCTGCGCGGTAGATAACTTTAGAATGGCATCTGGTTTATCGACGTTCGGAGAATGCCCGCCCTGCCCAAGCTCTGCGTTCAACGTATTATTATCGATCAAGTCGAGGGCGAGGGCCTGCCCCGCACTACCGTTGGGGATGATATAGGTCACTGCCAAATCATCAACCAACCCCCCAAGAGGCAAGTCCTGGCGCTTACTCGTGATGGGGCAGGCGGCGTGGAACAGGGGGCCCGCAATGGCCTGCGTGTGACAGGGCCATCGATGCACTGAGCCGTAGAAGGGGCCCATGAAAATGTCGGGCCCACTGGGGTCCCCCACCCCCCCTCCTGCCTGCGGTCTACAATGCGCGGTGCGGCCAGCAGCAACTACGATGATGATCGCCTTGCGGCGGTTCCTGGCCAGCATCTCGCGGAAGTGTCGAGCCTCGCAGCGCCAGTCCTGCGTCTCAATGAGCTGGGCGGCGTGCCCCGTGCCAAACGCGTTGCGCACCTCATTCGACTTCGTCATATATGATAACGCACACGTGCACAACTTCCACTCCTGAATTTGAACAATGGTCATCAATCCTTCTCTCCGAATCAGGAAATAGACCTTCGCACCAGTAATCTAGAACCCCCACTCCTAAATAGAGTCTCCACGACGGGCAGAAGCAGTGGATCAAACTAAGGCACGCGTTGATGTCCTTTATGATGTTCCCCGTGGACTGATTGTTCTTCTTGCTGATCATGATCCCGTGACTAGTGCGCGGCTGGATGGGGCAAGTGCCTAGCTCGTCGAACGTGCGCTAGTAGGGATTCTAATACTGCAGGGGCCTCCGACATCACGTCATTGCTGAAACCTCCAAGCTGCCGTTTATCTGGTCGCCTTACCCGAAGGCGAGAGGGGCCCCAGCCGAGGCCGAAGGGGCAGTCGGCATCCTCATGTCCAAGCCCAGCTGTCGGAAATCCTGGTCTATCCAACCATTTGTGGCTCAGAATCGTGGTGGTGATCTCGGAGGGCCACGACCGCGGAGGGCCTGTATCGTCGGTTGCGTTGTCGATAGACTCGGTTATGCATAAACCTCAGATCATCGAGAGTTTGGGCATAGTCTACACTCGAAGGCGGCCCGCACTCCATCCCGACAGGTTGCACTTGATCAACGGGGGTATCTAGTAGTCTCTGGACTGCTGTCTGGTCTGTGATCCACCTATTCTCCATAACCTCGCGTGCCTCCAGACCTCCCTCTCCGCCCGGCCGTGCAAGAGCGCCGACAAAAATACCAGCAAGAGGACGAGCCGAAGTGAGGGAGAGGCACGAGCGCTTGCGCGTGCCCGTGCGTGTACCAGCTCGTAGACGTGCAAGCTCAGCCACGCGTGCCGTCTCTCTGCGTGCCCACGCTGCTCGAAGTCCGGACTCTACGCCGTGCGGCCACCGCGCATTTTCCACCTCTCGAAGTGCTTAACTTCTGGGGAATCGATTTGAGTTCCTCGGTGTCGGGGGCGAGGCCCTGTTCACGAAGTGCTGCTCGCTGCCTGAGAAGTGGCATGCGATGCTCCCTGTCTCCTTTTACCCACGGGGGGGTCGATTTGTTGTTTGAATAGTTTTGCCCGGCGTTCGTCCTGATCAGATACGATACCACAGCATTGTGCCTGCTCGGGTCCTGGTCCTCGAGGATCATATTAAGAAGGGGAGCCGCCTGGGTCAGGGACGCGTGAGGGTCGTGCAGGAATTCTCTGCGAGCGCATCCTACTTATACTCCAGCTGCCAAAAGCCCCCAATCCCACACACTGTAGCCCATATCACGTGGAGACGGTGGTGCTGCGATGACTACCTCCATTCCCATAGGTATGTGATCAAGCATGTGCGGTAGATAATGTAGTCTACGATTGAACGCCAACGCATATACATACGACCCACAAGTGGTAGAAGAGACCGAGGGACGAGATGGTAAGCAATACGTGAACGTGACTCTCGAATCCCATACAAACTAAATCCGACATTGTAGACAATGTTCGGGACGGGAAATTCCATCTCAAGCAAGTGGTTGTAAACGCGCTGTCCTAGAACGGTTCTGACGCGGCCTGGTGAGGGCCGATACTTTCGTCGGCTTGAAGTTCACAGTTCACACGCCCAAGCGGCTGGTTCAGGTCCGCAAACACAATGGGGGCAACGCGACATGGGGCTGACGAGGCCTCGCCCCGTACCCAATCCCAGAATTTTAGAACGGTGAGTCGCCAGTCGGATCTTAGCTGTCGACCCCTGGGACGGACGAGGCGGGAAGTATGCGACGATCAGTCGCACTCGGAGGCTACCTTGAAACAAATCAACACCTCCACCACGGCCACGTACTTCACTCGGAGAGGTGGTGATGCGGATGGCGTCGTGCGGGCGGAATCTTGATGATCGGAAACCGAAGCTACATCCCGCGGACGAATTGGTCATGCTTCCTCGGCCCCACCCGAAATGTAGAAACTAGTGGTGGTAGCCGCGATCAAAGACATGAGCGGCACGCTGCTTGGTTCTAATTTTTGTGCCTGGCATAAAAAGTGTGGAAAATGTCGAACTCCCGACTATATCTACGACGACGACAATGATGCCTGGCGCCGACGCCGACACCGACGCCGACGCCGACGCCAGCGCCAGCGCCGACACCAACGCCGGCGCCGACGTTGACGACGACGACGACGCCGACGCCGCCGCCGACGACGACGCCGCCGACGAAAGCGACGCCGACGCCGACGCCAGCGCCCACGCCGACACCAACGCCGACGCCGATGCCGACGACGAGCACGACGCCGAGCACGACGCCGAGCACGACGCCAACGCCGACGCCGACACCGACGCCGACGACGACGCCGACGCCGACAACGACGCCGATGCCAGCGACGACGGCGACGACGACGACGAGCACGACGCTGAGCACGACGCCGAGCACGACGTCGACGACGCCAAACGCCGACAACGACGCCAACACCGGCGCCGACGCCGACGAAAAGCATGACGCCAAGCACGACGCCGACGCCAACGTCGACGACGTTGACGACGCCGACGCCGACGACGACGACACGACAACGACGCCGAGCACGACATCGACGACGACGCCAGCGCCGACGGCGACGACGTTGACAACGACAACGCCGACGCCGACGCCGAGCACGACGCCGACGACGTCGACGCCGACAGGAACGCCGACAACAACGCCGACGCAGGCGCTGGCGCTGGCGCCGACGCCGACGCCGACGCCGACAACGACGCCGACGATGACGACGATGCCGAACACGACGCCGAGCACGACGCCGACGACGCTGACGCCGACAACGACGTCGACGCCGAATCCGACGCAGGCCACGCCAAGCACGATGCCGAAATCGACGCGAAGCACGACGCCGACGCCGAGGCCGACGCAGATCGCCGCGGCCGACGACGACGACGACGTCGACGACAACGATGCCTGGCGCCGACGCCGACACCGACGCCGACGACGACGCCAGCGATGGCGCCGACACCAACGCCAGCGCCAACGACGACGACGACGACGACGCCTACGCCGACGCCGCCGACGACGACGCCGCCGACGACGCCGACAACGACGCCAACGCCGACGCCAACGCCGTCGCCGACACCAACGCCGACTCGGACGTCGACGACGACGATGAGGCCGAGCACAGCGCCGTCGTCGTCGCCCACCCCCCCTACCCCCTCATTCCCCTGGTTCCGAACCCGGGGGGGCCCTACGAGCGACCACAGAAAACGATCTTTCAGGACCAGCCTGGCCTTGTGGGACTTTTTGTGGAGCGGGGAGGCCGTCTTCTGCGAAGAAATGCCGACTTTCTTCTGGCGGTCGGAGAGCTGAGTCTGGCATGCTGTCGGGGAAGGAGGCTCATGCAACCACGACTGGATGGCCAGCACGATTGAGACAATGAATATGATGATGTAGCCCACAATGACAAGCCCAGGGCCTTGGGCAACGTGCAAGGAGCGGATGTACGTGGCAGCCGGCCCTGCCGTAGTTGTGAGTCGGAAGATGCATAGTAAAAACCGCGGACCAGCGGTATCCATGTGAGAGGCGCGCCCCCCGTGCAGGTTGAGCCAAAATGGCTACGGAGGAAGGGGCAGGAGGAAGAGGAGGAGAAGGAAGAGGAAGAAACGGAGGGAGAGAAGGGTGGCGCGGGAGGAGCAGGTAGAAGAAGGGGGGCAAGGGGAAAGAGGGGGAAAGAGAGGGGGGGGGGAAGAGGGGGGGCAGAGGGGAGGAGGGCAGGGGGGAAGGGGCCGAAGACAGAGCGCAAAGCATGGAGAGACGCAATCTCGATGGAGGTGCCCATACTGAAGACCCACATGTTGCAGCACTTGTGGACAACCCTGCTGTTCTTTCCATGGCGCATTCGGAAACGAGATGGCAACGCGTATGATGATTGGTCGTGTCTTCGCCCCGCCAGCCCAACAAAGCATGAGGGTGAACTTCTGCTCGTAAAGGCAACGGCTGCGTCGATTCGATGAGTCCACATTACATCACATTACTACCATCCTTCCAGCTCTGCCGTTTATGCGCCGAGCAAGTGTAACTGAGTCGGACTGGAAGGTTAAATTGAATCAGGGCTACACGCTGAAGCTCACCAATATTTGTCATACTGGTCGGGATCTCGGGAGAGCATGGTTCCGCAGAAAGGGCAGAGAAATGAGACCCATTAATATCACCGATCGGATTGCGCAGTCCCCAGGAAATGCGACGACGATTCAACCACCTGCTGCTAGCGGCGACCAGGTCATACAATCCGACGCACACGGGGAACGCAGCCGCTCCTCACCTGGCACCTCTCCTCCGCCGTTACCCCCCTCTTCCCCTCCTGCCCTCTCTCCATTCCTTCCTCCCCACCCACCCCCTCCCTCGCTCCTCATCTGCCCATTCCTCCTCCCCTTCTTTCTCCCCTTTCCTCCTTCCTTCCCTTCCCTCTCCCCGTCCCTCCCCACCCCGCTCCCCCCCCTCCCCACTCCCAAGCCGTCTAAGGGCGCGTCTATGTCCCGTACAGCACGGCCCTCTGGCAACGTCAGGTCCAGGATCCGCTTCTCCTCTTCCTTGGCCTTCCGCTCCTCCTTGAGCTTGTTGAACCGCTTGAGGACCTCCTCTGGAACCTCCTTGGACTCGTCCTTGGATCGGAAGGGGATCCTTCTCCTCGCCCCTCGTCACCTCATTGTCTTTCTCCATACCCTCTTCCCACCACCCCTCCACCCCCCCCCCCCTCCAACAACCGAGGGCGCGCCGCTGGATGCCAAAAAGGGGGGGTCTGGGACCCCTCCCGTTCCCCCCTTTCCCCAATACGTCGTCCTGGGACCTCCCCCTCCCCCCCCCCACCGTTCCCGAATCCGTCGTCGTCCCCCGCCCCCCCTTTCTAAAGGGGGGGGGGGGGGAACCCCTCCCCCCAACAATTTAGTCTCGAATGTCGAGCCCCTCCCCCACCCCCCTTTGGCCACGCCGCTCCCCTAGCTCCGGAACTCTACCCCCTTGCCCTACCGCCCTAGCCCTAACCCTAACACCCTAACCTAAGCCTACCACACAAACCCCAACTAACTCTAACACCCTAACACCCGAACCCGAACACCAGGAACCCTGACCCGAACCCTGCCACTCTGAGCCGTAACCCTAACCCTAACACCATAGAGCGAACCCTACCGCCCTAACCCTAACACCCCAACCCTAACACCCTACCCGTACCTAGCCCTAACATCCTACTCCGAACCCTTTCGCCCTGATCCGAACTCCACCACCTAAACGTGACACCCATACCCGAACACCAATACCCTAACACCCTAATCCGACCCCTAACGCCGTAAGCCTAACACCCTGACCCGAACACCAATACCCTAACACCCTAATCCGAACCCTTGCACCCTAATCCGAACATCCTGGCCGCAACATCCGAACCCAACTCCCATGAGCCTAACACCCTTCCCATGACACCCTGAGCCTAACACCCTAACCATAACGCCCTGACCCTAACACTACAAGCCTAACAACCTAACACCCAGAATATAACCCCCAAGCCCTAACCCATTAGTCCTAAGTTCTAAGTCCTACGCCCTAAGCCTTCAGCACTAAGTAAGATGTACGCCATTAGCCCTAAGCCCCAACACCCTTATCCCAGGCTTTCAACCCTAAGCCCTAGGCCCCAAGCTCCAAGGCTTCTGCCCTAAGCTCTAAGCCCTAAGGTTTAAGGCCTAGTCTCGGCTGGGTGCGCGTACTCCCCTACTCCGCCGTGCCTTCCAGGAACCTACGAAAGTGACGACTGTTGCGCAGTTCGCAGCCCCCCAGGGAGCTGCGAGGTCCCTGCTGGATGCGCGTACTCTCCTACTCCGCCGTGCCTTCCAGGAGGCGACGGTCGCGCAGTTCGCAGCCCCCAAGGGATCTGGGAGGTCTCGGCTGGGTGTGCGTACTCCTCAACTCCGCCGCGCATCCCAGGAACCAACGAAAGTGGCGACAATTGTCAGTTCGCAGCCACCCAGAGAGCTGCGAGGTCTCGGTTTGGCGTGCGCATATTCAAATAATAGGCTGTTCTCCACATCCCGATCGCACATCTGATGATCTCGACATCGTCTTCTGAAGCCCTCAACCTTCATGGTCCTATTCAAATAGCAGATATTTTTCTGCACACGCCCGACTTCAACCTTTCACGATGGAAATCTGTGCCGCTCACGATCTTTTGATGAAGCACTATGCGACGCACATCTGCTGATCTCGACATCGCATTCTCAAGCCTTCAGCCTTCACGATCCTACGCAAATAAAGCGCGTTCTCTGCACACACACACACACACGGTGTAAACCTTTCACGGTGGAAATCTATGCCGCTAACAATCCTCTGGCCTAACAGACAGAGGTCCTCTCCGGTGTAAAGGGGGGAGGGGGGGTTCGAAATCCGCTCCCGTGTCCGGCGTGGGGGGGGTGGGGTATCCGACCCCCCCCAAAAGGGAGGGGGGGCGGTCCGAAAATCCCCCCCACCCCCCTTGAAAGAGAGGAGGGGAGGTGAGCGAGCACACACACCCCTTTTCACGTCGCTAATGGTCCGGAAGCTTGGTCCGCAGCAACTTCGAGGATAGATGGGAAACCGTTTTCAAAATACTGTTATGGCAGTAGCGCCGAGCACATTCGTCAGACAAAATTCCCAGCGCTTCAATGATGGAGGGGGATCGTTCTCAAGATGGGGCTCTCGCGTTAGCGCCGCGCGGGATCGGCGTAGTGTTGGCTGGCGTTGGGGTCATGTTCCTCCACCTCCTCCTCCTCCTTCACCTCCCTCCTCCTCCTCCTCCTCCTCCTCCTCCTCATCATCATCATCATCATCAGCAGCATCATCATCATCAGCATCATCATTGCGTTTTTCTTTTCTTCCTCTTCCTCCTCCTCACCCTCCTTTTCTTCCTCCTCCTCCTCCTCCTCCTTTTCTACGTCCTCCTCCTTTTCCTCCTCGGCGTGTCGACCTCGTAGCTCTGCTTGTGGCCTTCTTGGCTCTCTGCGTGGTCCTGGCAGCTCGGCCCGTGCTCCTCGCAGCTCTGCGCGTGGCTCGCCGAGCTCGGCCGGTGGCCCTCGAAGCGGAGCCCGTGGCCCCCCGAACTCTTCCCTTCGCCGTGGTATGATGGGCCTGTCTTCCTCCACCACCACCACCATAAGCTGGAGGGGGGGAGGGAGGAGGGAGCAGGAGGGAGGAGGGAGGAGGAGGAGGAGGAGGAGGGAGGAGGGAGGAGGGAGGAGGAGAGGGGAGGAAGAGGAGGAGGAGGGAGGAGGAGAGGAGGAGGAGGAGAGGAGGAGAGGAGGAGGAGGAGGAGGAGGGAGGAGGAGGAGGAGGGAGGAGGAGGAGGAGGAGGAGGAGGACCCCCTCCCCCTCAAACTTGTGGTGGTGGTGGTGGAAGACAAGCCCATCATCGTAGCTCTGTTGCTGGCCCTCGACGTTCCGCTGGCGGCCCTCGCAGTGCGGCCGAGACCAGCCTGGGGCGACGACGGGGGCACCCTTGGCGACGCAGCCCGTGGGGCCACGTGCGGGGTGCCGCCGCGCGGGGGGGATACCCCTGTAGATCTTCTTTTTGTTCGGGGGCGCGCAAACATGGATGAGCGATTCATGGATTTGGTGCGCGGTCGCCAAATCCATGGATCAGGGGAGGTGCCCTCCTGAAAATGCGGCTGGTGCCACCTCGCCTGGCGGCGGAGATCTCGGATTTGCCATGGGAACGGGACACGTCGCTAATCCACGGCCCCTTGATCCATGTTTGCGATCGCCTAATTTCTAAGGCTAATGTTAGGTCGGGCATGTCCTTCTACAGGCGGATTCTGGAGGAACAAAAAAGAATCGAAACATACTCCAAACATGCTGAAAGATATGCCCCCCAAAAAACGTCCCCAAGTTGCTTTTTTGTTGACTATTTTTGGATATTCCTCCTGTAGAGGGACACGCCCGACTTAGGGCACATGCCTGGGTCCATCTCGGGTCGAGGCGCCCGCGGGGGCAGGGGAGCCGCGGGCCTTCGCGCATTGAGACGTGGTCCTCGCAGATCCGCGGGTTGCCCTCGCAGCTCGGCCGGTGGGTATGGCAGCGGTGCCCGTGGCGCTGCTGGCAGCTCCCGGGGGGCCTGCCCGTCGCCCCCGTAACTCAGGCAACGGCCCTCGCAGCCCAGCCGGTGGCGCACGCGGCTCAGCTGGTGGCTCTTGCTGCTCTCCTGGCCCTTCCCAGGCGGTCGTCGTCGACCACGCAGTGGTGGTCGTACTGGTCGTGCTGGTAGTGGTCGTGGCAGTCGCCGACGCGGTACAGGTTCTCCTGGTCGTACTGTTGGTCGTACTTGTGGTCGCGCTCCGGGGCCTCGACGACGACGTATTTGTACTCCGCCTTGTCGTGCTCGGTGCCGTCTTGCTGTATCTGAAATTGCACCTGCTGTCGTGCACGTCGTTGTTCTTCTGAGGAACAACGGTGGTAACGATCATGATGTCTTTGGGATTTTTGGCAGACGTCC